CTTCCTCCTGCCCAGCAGTGGTCCTTCCTGATTCCTGTCTCTGTGGGGGCTGCTCACAGGCAGGGGCTGCTCATAGGCAGTGACCACAACCCTGTGGGCTGCAGCGGTAACAGCAGCTGTCCTCCCCTCAGTCAAGGTTCGTCTTCCCTGGCTTACCCCAAACACTCTGGCCCCACCGCAGCTGGGGACTGAGCCAGGGAAGCTTACCCAGGGCTGCAGAGCATGAGGCAGTACTCAGGCAGGAGCGGCACGGGCGGATTGGTGCAGCAGGTGAGACAGGCAGGGGACAGTGAGTGCATTCTGGGTGGCCTGTGTTCACTCAGCACACAATGAGCTCTCAGCTAACGAGCGCTACAGAGACACCAAAATGAAGGAGCACACGGAGACAGGCATTGCCTTATGAACCCTGATTTAAACTGAAGCAAATCTAAGCAAATGTTACCACTCTCACTTTTCAAGCAGGTGACTCTCCGTAGTGTAACGATGTGAGCACACTCATGGAGCCTGTACACGGCCCACCCGGAGGCAGCGGCTGCTTCTGTGTCATAGAACAATAGACTCTTGCATACAGGAAACGAATGGTCCCTTTCGAATTCTCTAAACCTGAAACATGACCGTGATTAAACCTTTGCTGGAAACGACCTGTTTAAGTCTGGCAGCATTAGTGAACAGAGTCCATGACAGAGGCTGGGTATGGTACCTGTGCTTTTTGGAGATAAGTAGACATGCGCCCAGAACTCTTCCTGTCGTTGGCACCAAAGGTCATTCCATAACTATTTTAACGTCACAGACTGTAATTTCCAGGTGTCGAATATCTGAGATACTGTCATTCCCCTTCTGCTCGCTTCTGCTGAGTGACCCTGCGTGGCCTCTGCTTTGCAGATACATGCCAGCCAGATGCTTCCTGTGACCAAGCCAGACCACCCCCTGTGCCATCCTACGTGGACGCTGCTTTCCTTCTGGATGCCTCCCGGCACGTAGGAAGTGCCGACTTCGAAGACATAAGAGGCTTCCTGGGAGCCCTGTTAGACCACTTCGAAGTCGCCCAAGAGCCCGAGACCTCTGTCACTGGAGACCGGGTGGCCCTGCTGAGCCACGCCCCCCCGGACTTCCTCCCCAACACCCGCAGGAGTCCCGTCCGAGCCGAGTTCAACCTGACCACCTACGGCAGTAAGCGCCTCATGAAGAGGCACGTGAGAGAGTCGGTCCGGCAGCTGCACGGGGACGCTTTCGTCGGCCACGCCCTGCGCTGGACTCTGGACAATGTCTTTTCAAGTGCACCCAATGTGAGAAGGAACAAGGTCATATTTGTGATATCTGCTGGGGAGACCAGCCACTTGGATGGGGACACTTTGAAGAAGGAGTCCTTGCGAGCCAAATGTCAGGGCTATGCCTTGTTCGTGCTCTCCATCGGCCCTGCCTGGAATGACCAGGAGCTGGAAGATCTGGCCAGCCCCCCTCTGGATCACCATCTAGTCCAGCTGGGTCGAATTCATAAGCCTGATCACAAATATGGCGTGAAGTTTGTGAAGTCCTTTATAAGCTCGGTCAGACGTAAGTCATGATGTCTACTCCGTCCATTAAGAAACGTGTATTTAATCCCAAGTATCCGTTCAGAGCAGTATACTTGGGATTCCCAGCAGATAGGATGGTGAACTGCCATGGGTTCTTGGGAATCTCTGAAAGTGTGCAATGACGCATGGGGAAAGGGGCAGAATGCTGATTGCCCTGGCTCCTTCCCCTCTAGCTCCTGTGGAAGCAGTCCTAACAAGTGCCGTCCACACACCTGTCCTCACGGAGCAGTGTAGGGCTGGGAGGTCCCGCCAGGACATTGGCTACAAAGTCGAAGCCTTCACCGTGTAACAGTAGCATGCTGCCCTTGGGTAGGAAGTTTTATCAGTTAACAGCAAAAGAGAGGGCCAAAGAAAAATGAAACGGTTCTTGGCTTGGCTTTTACAAGTTGTGAAGGCAGAGTTTGAAGTGTTAGGAGATGTTATTTTACCTGTCAGAACGAAAGATAAGGTCTTGCAAAATTTCCTTAGTCTCATTAACAACTTTTTATTATGCCAGTAATTAGTGTAACTGATCCCCGTAGAAAAGAAACAAGGGCTGTATTTCTTGGAGTGAGCTCACCTTGAAAACATGCGATCCATTTTTAAAATGCTGACTTATTATTAATTTTTACATTTTTGCTGTAAGACACATGTGCTAACCAGAGAGAGTGAGAAGCAAGCTGCCAGGTCTGGGACTTGAGCCACAGTCAGCTATATGGAAGTCCAGTGCCTTACCCATCACACCACCTGCTGAAACCTGCAATTCATTTTTTTTTCAGAGATTTTTTTCCTATAGGGCATGTGTACTCATCAGAGAGACAGAGAGAAATTGAGAGCCAGAAATTGAGAAATCATCCCCTGGGGGGTGGCTACGCCGCAGTCCCTTCTTGTACATTCTCCTCTCGGGATCTTGGGCACGCACGCACATGCACCCAGCATGAAGTGTTAGGAGATGTTATTTTACCTGTCAGAACGAAAGATAAGGTCTTGCAAAATTTCCTTAGTCTCATTAACAACTTTTTATTATGCCAGTAATTAGTGTAACTGATCCCCGTAGAAAAGAAACAAGGGCTGTATTTCTTGGAGTGAGCTCACCTTGAAAACATGCGATCCATTTTTAAAATGCTGACTTATTATTAATTTTTACATTTTTGCTGTAAGACACATGTGCTAACCAGAGAGAGTGAGAAGCAAGCTGCCAGGTCTGGGACTTGAGCCACAGTCAGCTATATGGAAGTCCAGTGCCTTACCCATCACACCACCTGCTGAAACCTGCAATTCATTTTTTTTTCAGAGATTTTTTTCCTATAGGGCATGTGTACTCATCAGAGAGACAGAGAGAAATTGAGAGCCAGAAATTGAGAAATCATCCCCTGGGGGGTGGCTACGCCGCAGTCCCTTCTTGTACATTCTCCTCTCGGGATCTTGGGCACGCACGCACATGCACCCAGCATGAGTTTGAAGCCGCTGGGCCCAGGACTCGAACCACCATTGACTATGTGGGAGCCCAACGATGTAACCATTACACCATCTCCTGGTCCCACCTGCAATTCATTTTTAATGCAAAAAATGGATAAAGACTCTGAAGGTCGAAAAGCACCCAGCGGTATTTTCCTGACCCTTTGCAGCCTGGATAAGTGAGCATGCAGGCTCAAGAGCACTTGGTGTGGCTCAAGTGAGGTCTGACTGTGTCTCCCAGTCGTCCCGGATGCTACCTGATGACCACTATGGCTGTAAAGACTGAGTCTGTGCAGAGTGGGGTCTGAAGATGGGCAACGGGCCGAGGTTCTCTCCTCTGGTCCTCTCACGGTGTGGGTCCAGGACCAGTAGTTCCAGCAGCACCTGAGAGCGCCTTGGAGATGCAGAGCCCGCCCACCCAGACGCTCTGAAAGTCTGCAGGTCACCAAGACGCCCAGTGCACGTCACGCGTGATGGTCTGGGATGCAGTGGTGTGGGGCGACAAGCTCCATAGGAGACCCACGTGGGCTATTCTGGAAGGGCTGCCCAAGGGAGGAGCTAGCAGAGGAGGGACGGCCGCTCTGAGAGGTCGTGATGGCAGTGTTTGCAGGGTCACACGGGAGCCCCTGGAGGCCCTGAAAGTCTTGTAAAGGAGCACCTCCTATGAGGCCAGAAGCTGGCGGGGAGGTTTACCACAGGATTTTCTCAACTGGTTCCCCCAAATTTTTTATGTTATTTCACAGTAATTAGTCAAATTACGATTAGCTAGATGGTACACACCACTGACCAGGGAAAAGGGAAGAGAATTTTAAGGAACAGTTACTTAAGGCACACTGTACAAAGTGCATGCAGAAAACTGTAACCACCCTTTTCTAGGACAGAAAGATCTAGAGGTATTCCATTGTCAAATACAGTCATAAAAGCCGAGAAGTCAGAGAAGACGTTGGCGTAATCACTCAAGTCTACATTGCGTACTGAGCTCTGGCAGGCGCAGACTCACCTTCTCCCATGCGACATTAACACGCATTCACTAGGCCCCTTCTCCGAGTCCCCACTGTGCGGCGTTGGGTACTGAGGAGTGACACAGCAGACCAGGCCCCTGCTCTCCCGGGGCTCCGACTAGCTCCTGAAGTCCCTGTGGCGTCTCTGACACTGCTGCCACGGGGAGAGCTGGCAGGCACCGGCCACAGCAGAGGCCACGGCTCTCCCAGGAGAAGCAGAGCTGCTGACACATCATCCATAGAGCTGAGGCAAATGAAAAGCTTAGCGTTAGATGCTCAGTCAAGGCAGCCCCCAGTCATCGCCACTCCATGCTGAGCACTGAGCTGTCTCAGGTCTGTCTCTGGGCCCTGAGCAGCAGCTCTGGAGACGGGCCCTCCACAGCCCAGGGCAGACTGCTGCTTACGACGGCCCTGGGTCACCAGAGGAGACATGCCTAACACGTCTGTCCGATTCAATGCTCCAAGGAAATCTATAATGCATTTTTTAAGTTTTCCATACAAAAAAGGCTTTACATTTTTTTAATGGTATAAGAAGAGAGATGCTTCATTGTAATGGAAAATTAATACACTTCCAAGTGAAATGAGCCAGTAATGAATTAAACTCAAGGTGGTGCCAATGTCACTGTTTTAGTGAAACAGAGAATGAGAAAGGAATGTCTTTTCCCTTTGCTGTTTGACCTTCCATAGAAACAAATGAAAACCGATTTAAATTAGTTCCTACCCATTGAAGACCAGGGCACGAGGGCTGGCTGGTGATAGCTCCCCTAACGGGGGACCCACCTCAGCTGCTAAGGGCCTCTTCCTGGGAAGCTCGGCGAGGCCACCAGTAAGTCCAGAAGATGAACTTTTCAAACCCAGCTTGAGCCATGCCCCTGGAAAGGCTGCTTTCATTTTCCATGAGCCGCTCAGTCGGCACTGTCCTTCGGTGGATGCTGAAAACGCGGAAGTGACACTGCTCACTGAGCCGCAGCGTGAGCAACCGTGAACAAGAGACTCATTGAGACTTCTCCTTCTAGGTGCGATCAACAAATACCCGCCAGTGAACTTCAGAACCAAGTGCAGCAGACTCGGCTCCCCAGATCCGAAGCAGTCCTCACGGCAGTTCCGAAGGTAGTCTCCTTGGTGTTACTTGATAAATGAATGCCCCCACTTTCTTCTCTGTGTTCTTTTTCCTCCTTTTCTTCCTCTTCCTCCATGATATTAAAATATAATTCAAGGGGGGCTAGCAGGTGGCATGGTGGTTAAAGTGCTGGACTCCTATGTGGCCAACCATGGTTTGAGGCCCAGTTCTGGTAGCTTGCTTTCTCACTCTCTCTTTCTCTCCCTCTCTCTCTCTGGTGAGCACATGTACCCTGTAGCAAATTAAAAACTAATACTACTGATAAATAAAAAATAAAAAATTCTAATACACACACACACACACATAAAATTCAAGGGAACAAGAGATAATTTTTTGGAGAGGTTTTTCCATAGGGCGTGTGCACTTGCCAGACAGACAGAGAGAGACAGAGAGATGGAGAGCGAGAAGTCACCCCCAGGGGGGATGGCCACGCCACAGTCCCTTCTCCTCCATTCTCCCATCGGGATCCTGGGCACGCACACACACCCGGGCAGGCGGAGGCTGGGACTGGGTCCTGGCACCACCGTCTGGTTGGAGGCACCTGTCTCTCTCTCTCTCCTTCTTTCTCATTCATGAGATAAATAAACTTTACAAAATTAAAATAAAATTTGCCAAAATTTAGGCAAGTTTAAACAAATATATTTTAAAATAATAGCACTTAATTTGTAGAGTTATTAAAAATCTGTACTTATTAAAGGCTAAGAAAATAAAACTTTTTGTCACCTAGTAGTTTTAAGAGAAGAAAATATTTCTACTAAAACTATAAATATGAATAAGTATTTTTCGCTTATTAATTATTTAAATATGAGAAAAATAATACAATAATGTTTTATTATTTAAAAGAAATGAAGTTTTAAGGTGTGATAGCATAATGGCTACATTGCTAGACTCCCATGTAGTCGACCACGGTTCGAGTCCCAGACCTGGTGGCTAAAACTCATGCCGAGTGCGTGTGCATGCATGCCCAAGATCCCGAGAGTAGAACTTAATATTTTTTTTAAAAAAATTAAGAGTATCAACAAAAGCAAAAATTAACTATTTGAAAACTTAATATACACACATAGTATCTTTTGCATGTATTAACATTACTTACACTTTTCAAAATGAAGAGTAAGTGCCATCCAGTGAGTAGCGTGTGTGTCTGTGGTCAGTCGCTCTGTGCTTATACATGTATGTACACCCAGCCCAACCACAAGTATGCCCAGCACCCGGGCCCGCACCGGTGGCCACCTCTGACAATGTGAGACTTCCATCGCATAGCGTGTGATCAGGGTCAAGATGCACCCCCAGAACAGAAGCCTCAGCTTCAGCACCTCTAAGAAGCTTCTGCTTGGAATCTGCCACCCTTGGTGGGGGAGCTGTCCAGGGAGCTGTCCGGGGAGCTGTCCAGCAGCAAATACTTCCTGAAGTCGGGGCCGAAACAGGCCTGGGAGTCCGCCCGGGAGGAGCAGGGCTCCCCCTGCAGGCGTCTGGCAGCTGGAAAGGGGAACAGACTGGAGGCAGTGCCCTGACCAAGGCAGAGCTTGAACCCCAGCCCAGGTTTAGTGCTGTGTTACTATTAGAGTTACTTTTTTGAATTTGCGTTCTGTGAGTCAAGTCAAAAGAGGTGATAAAGGGACCAGCAGTTGGCGTAATGGCTATGTCGCTGGACTCCCAGGGCACTTCTTACAGGCTGCTCGCACCTCCTGCTCACCAGGCCTCCCCCGCCACTGCACCCCTTCCTTGGTGGGGGCCTGGGCACAAACACAGACAGGCTGGGTAGCCATGCTCCCACGCCTGGCACAGAGCAGTGCCATCGGCCCAGGTTGGCAGCACCGGCACCCTGTGCCCACCTCCATCCAGGCCCGCAGTGTGCCCCCGGGAAGAGGCTGTGCTACTCCTGGGGTCGCTCCTCGGTGGCGCGTTGGCTGGCCGGCCAAGGGAGGGAGACCCTGGCTTGGGCTGACTTCCTGGGCATGTCTGGAGGCTGATGAGGGGACAGGAAGGACAGCTGGCTCAGGGGCCACGTCTGGGGCAGGACTCTATGGAGGTCTGCACTTCCTGTGGGAAGACCCTTGCTGGGGGAACTTGACATTAAAGAGCATGGAAGGTGGAGAGATAGACAGACAACAGAAGGGAAAAGAACACTTTCCTGCTTTTGACATGGGGCTCAAGTCCAAGCGCCCCACACCATGTGCCCACTGTGACGGTAAGTGTGGACAAAGGAGCCAGCCTACACAGCTGGGAGGTGCTTCTGGAACCCGCGCTCACCGTGCTTTCTATCTGAAGAGCCAAATGCAAGGACAGGCGGTCTCCCCTCCACACGGCCTGAAAACGTGCAATGCGGGAGGCCCGGCCTCTCCCGTGTGTCCGACAGGGCAAGCCTCACCCCCTGATGGTGTGACAGACCGGGCACCCCAGGCCTTCTCTAAGTGACCGGCGACCAGAATAAAGGTAACGGGCCACACGGCTGCTCAGAAGCGAGGGAGAGCCATGCCCGGGCTCACAGGCAGTGAGGACGCCGGCAGGCGAGGGCTCTGGCAGTGAAGCTGACTTGCCACGTCTTCGGGGTGATTTGCACAGGATTTAGATCTGTACTGTGGACCTTTAAAAATACATGTAGAAGCTGGGTCTTCTCAGATGGAAAAGAAACTGGACCACACTGCAAGCGACCGAGGAGACAGATGGCCCTGGGGGAGATGGCGGGGACCCCGCTGTATGAGCACTTTAGTCTACCCCGAGACAATGACGGAAAGAAGCCACCTGCTTACTGCTCATCCAGTCAGGCACGCATGTGTGCCAGACTTCAAAGCAATGGCGGCCACAGCCAAGGCTACTGAATTGTGAAAGCGGCCATGGCCACCAGAGCCACGTGGACAGCACACCTGCTGTAATTCTGCTTCCCAAGATCTGCTCCCTGACACACACAACGCGTGCCCAGATGGAAACAGAAGCAATCTTGTCCTCGTCTCCTGCTCCCGTCAACTGAAATGCAGCATGGCTGACTCCTGACTGTAGACAGAAGGCTCCCACATCCCAGCAGCGAGATCTACACTCGGCCCCAGCCACTCCGCTGTGCCTAGAATTCACCACATCTTCATTTCCACAGACTTTGTTGCAGCTGGGCCCAGGCGGCTCGATGAATTAACCACTTCATTCTTGTCTTAACTACTTACTGAAGTTACCCATCAGCAAAGAATTGTCTCAACAATATAAAGCAGAAGAAAGAGAAAAAGATTATCGGGTAATCAACTGATTCTTATCAAATACTCATTTCTATGTATATAACACAGGGAAGAAAATCCGAAGAAATAGCATTTAACACATTCAACCCTTTATGAAGTGAAAATATTCAAGAGGAGGACATAGTGGTTAAGGCACTGGACTGCCATGTAGTCAACCATAGTTTGAATCTCAGACCTGGCAGCTTGAAAGTCATGCCAGGCGTGTGTGTGTGTGTGTGTGTGTGTGTGTGTGTGTGTGTGTGTGTGTGTATGTGTGTGTATGTCCAAAATCCTGAGAGAATGGAGAAGGGACTGTGGCATGGTCATCTCCCACAGGGGTAATTTCTCGCTTTCTCTCTCATGAGCTCATGCACTTGATAGCAAAAATCTCTCAAAAAATGTGTGTGGGTATATGCTATCGAAGCAGTTACCAATTGAACAATTTTTTAACAAAAAAGGAAGAAGAAAAAGGTAACTAAGCTTGCCATAAAAGAATATGCAGTGTATTCATGATGGAAAATTCATTTGGTATGCTGTAATGATACAGTGATTAAATGTAAAAAATAATAATAATTTTAAAGAAGGCAAACTCACATGCCACCTGGCAAATCTAACAAAAAAAAAAAAAAAAAAGGAATGAAGAAAAGTTGACTTATAATCCCAGCTCTCTCACTGACCTCTATGCATCTGTTTTCCTATCTATAACCCAAAGTGGGGACTTCCACTGTTCCTCACATGGGCTGTTTCTCTCCCCACTTTATACCTGAAGAAACAAGATCCCTCTAGGTAAGTGATTTCCCAAGAGCTGCTCAGGTCATAAGCGGAAGGGCGGGAATATACGATGTTTTCAAACCTGAAGCCTGGACAGTACGCTCGTCTGAAATGGCTCCCTTCTTGCACTAGCTAATACAGCAGTCACTAGTTGAATGTGGTTATTTAAATCAATGAAATGAAATGAAAATTTCAGTTCCTTAGTCACGGTAACTACATTTGAGGTGCCTGATAAGCCACTTGTGGCTAGTGGGTGTGCCACTGGCCACAGCAGATGACAGGATGTTTTCATGATCACAGAAAGTTTACTGGAGGGCTAGATCTTCTACTGTGTCACTGGAAAAGTCATGATGTATTTGTTTTTTTGTGCAAAAACGTGTCGTGACTTTTCCAATGAGCCAACAGTTAGCACTTGCCTCTCTGATTCCTTGATTTCTCGGGCTGGCATTCATGGCCTTCGAGTCTGACTCAGCTCTTCTTTATTGCTGGGTTCCTCAGGACTACTGACCTGCTCATTCTGTGCCTACCGGGTGGGGCTCCATTCTATGTGCCCCTCTAAACCTAACTCAGTGCCTTTCATACAGCAGTGGTAAGCATGTGGATGGGGTTAAGGATGTGGATGGAGTGAAAGAGAGAAGACATGGAGGTGGATGGAGCTAGTAGGCAGCATGGTGACTAGGCACAGGACCCCTACATGGTCAACCACAGTTCGAGTCCTGGATCAAGTGGCTTGACAATCATGCCGGGCACATGTGCTTACATGCCCAAAGACCCAGGAGGAGAATGGAAGAGAAGGGACTGTGGCATGGCCATCCCACCCAGGGGGTGATTTCTCACTTTCCCTTTCACACTGTCTCTCTCCAGCAAGTAAGTGTGCCCTATGGCAAAACCTTAAGGAAAAAAGTTGTGGGGGACAAACTTACTGGGTATCTATTGTGTGCTACGCCTCTTCTAGGTTCCTGGGATCTGTACAGTGAACAGACACAGTCTTATGAAACTTTCTGTCTGGGTGGATGGAAAAGTGGGAAACATGACATTTACAAGTAAATAAAAATTCAGACAGTGCTAAGTGTTTAACAGCTTTAATAAAATGATCCTAGAGAGAAGGGTAAGAAGGAAATGGATACAATAGCTAATTTAGGAAGAAAGATTAATACAGAGTCTATTAAAGTTGGAATGGCACTTATCTTCTATGATGTTGACTTCTTCTGTTGCATAGCTTTGTTCCTGGATCACATAAAGCTGTCCTCAAAGAAGATGCATTACGAGAGGCAAAATTCTTTCAAGATAAAAAGTATCTTTCAAGAGTAGCAAGAAGTGGTGAAGATGATGCAATGGGAAAATTTACCAGAAACACATCCCATACCTTTCAAAATGGAAAAAGGGTAATAAAAACTGCTTCCAAACGTGATAAAGGAAGTGCTCAGACAATTTAGCCTTAGGACTCTGGACGGAAGTCGTAAGTAAATCCACGGCTAGAATGCTGGGCAACTTTTACCTGGGCATCTGTCTGTATCTGGAGATGCCCTCTGGAGGGCTGAACAAGCCACGGTGGCAGATTATCAGGTAACTTGACACCCTGCGCTCACTGGCATGAAGGCACAGCTTGTCCACCTTTCTGACCACTCCTGGCCATCTCGGAACTCTTAGACTGATACGTCCAAAACTGTCGTCACAGGAGATGAAAGCCGTGCTCTGGAAAGTCTACGGGAGAGAGAACTTGATGGTAAACTTCATATGTGCAGATACGTGCACGCATGGCCAATGCTGATTCTTTGACTGAAGGTCTCTGATTCGTTTTTGGCAAACCAGGGCTGCTTCTTAATTTAGTAGTGTTTAATGTTCCTCTCTTTAACCAAAGGTACTATTTAATGACTCCACTTACCCTAGAAATTAATTTGTGAAAACCCAACCTTCCATGCTTATTCCACTTAAACACACCACTCTCTGAGTGGACTGGCTAGTCCCCAGATGGGCTTGTACCAAAAGGTTCTTTCCAACCTTCTGTAGTTTGCTGGGACAGGTAGATAGCATAAGGTAATTTTCTCCAGCTCTTAATCCTCCTGAGAAACTCAGAACATAAATCACCATTTGGAGCCTGAAGTTCTCCATTGAGAGCTTCCTGCCTGGCCAGCTGAATGGACTTCCAGCCTGTCTTTCTAGTTACGATCATTTATTCATTTTCAGTAATCCATATATTCTCTACACATGGATAGACACTACCTGCCACGGTGTGCAGCAGACAGCTTTTAGTCAACGGTGAACAGCACCGGCTTTTAAAAGAGCCTTAAATGCACACTGAGTCTGGAAAGGTAAGAAGGCATCCATGTTTTTATCTGTAAATCCACAAAGAGTTGCAGAGACGCAGAAGAAATCAGAGTAGGTCAGACAGGAACGGTCTTCAGAATGCTGAGCCCCTCGCAGCATTCTGTGATGGTTCTACCTGCTCATCCCCGCCCAGTCCTTACTGGGAGGACGGGGCCGTTGACTTTCAACGACTAAATAGCAGCACGGTGCTACCTACCATGAACACGAAGTTCATACCTTAGTTGAGCTGTCTGAGTGGGCTCCACAGCTGGTAGCGGTGGCCCTGCTAGGTAGAATACCATATTCCTGGGGAAGGGAGGGAAGCTCTGCTTGGATGCAGGGGGCAAAAGGGTACTGACACCGAAAACCAGTAGAGGGTGTTCAGATTTTCTCTTCTATACCTCTTTTCATAAATCCTGGTAAGAACAGCCATCTGCAGTACTTTTTAAAACATGTATGCCACTCTCACACAGGCAGCTCTGTAGAGAGATTCCCAATGTCTTCAGAGGAGAGGGCCAAGGGTTTAAACATCATATCAATACTCAGGTATCAGAGAAGACAGTCACATCAGGTATCTTCATCTCTAAGTGGTGCTTAGGGGTTCAGGAAAAATGTATGTCAAGTAGAGGAAATTGAGCAATATTTAAGAGGTATTTTAATAAAAGTGATTTTTCTGGTTAACTCTGGATTAAGCACAAACCCCTTCTGTTTACTGTTGGAAATACTTTGAAAATATATATATTTTTTTCTGCATTGGTAAGTAAAGTACACCAAACATTCTCTTGGTGACTGAGATTACTTAACATTTTAAGTCATCTTTTTAATCATTAATAGGAAGACTCTAAAACATGCTGTAAGTAAATGTTCATTTGAAAAAAAAAATCCCTAATACTAACATTTTCCATTTACTAACTTTCTCTTTCTCCAGCAGGGATTGGATAGTGAAGCTAGGTGCAGGCACGTCCATAACTGCTTGTGCAATCATAGAACTACAAAAAGTAGTGTTTAGAGTGCTTCCTGTCAAGTAGCATCTTCTCCAGACTCTAATAATATTTTTGGTTTTACAGATTCATGTAAATTTCAAACTAAAACATCTTGCACACCATAAACTTTTTTGCAAGTGGATGAGAATGAAACATGAGGAGAGAATTAGGTTTGTACTCAGACAATAATCCATAGCCTTGAAGGGTGTATCTTAGTGGGAAAGGCCAAGCTAGCTCTTTTCAAAACATAAATTTTTTGCACGTTTTTAATGACTTGATCCTTTTTCTTTTGCACTTAGTAAATAATCTCCACTGGATAAAAGCAAGATAATGAGCCAACTTTCACAATTTATGGTAGAGCCTATAAGCCCCAGTGATGAAGGCCAGGAAGAGACACATTTCTCTAGAGCTGCTACACAGGGAATCACTTCTGCAGTGTTAAACAGCTCAAAGGCAGGCTATGAAATGCACAGAAAGACAGAAACAGCAGCCGGGCAGAAATGTGCAGTGCTGAGGTTCTGAGGTCTGGGCCACAGCCATGCTCTGCCACTGACTCCTTGTGGCTCTAGGACCACTGCTTGGCCTCAGGACAAAGCTGCTGGGCATCCACCCCTCGGCTTGAGTTTACTGTTAAAAACTAACCGAGACAAACAGCTCTTGGTATGCTTTAATACAGTTTATTGACTTGTTTGAATAGTAGTTTTAATAGCAAAAACTTTATATTATATAGCTTACAACCATCTTTTAATTATCAATACAAAATAAACAGATCATGTCACCTTCACATTTCTTACCTCCGTGACATACACAACACAGCATCCCAGACACTGCTGCCTGGCCACTCCTGCAGAGGTACGCTAAGTAAACCAGCCAAGTGCAAGTTCCTTCACCACTACGGGTGGCATGTCTTCAGTCACAGAACAGCAATAGAGACATGATTCGGGAAGGTAAGCAAACGAGTCTGTTCTCACTCTGTTCTCTAGAGACACCTCTCCCCTGGAACCCCAACACAGGTATGGCTTTATTACAAGTGTGTGAGTCAGGCTTTCATTTCCACACCTTCACAATCCCGTCTCTAGAAGCGGTTACGATGAAGCCCTGCGTCGTCTGGAATGTGGCAACATCCGTGATGATGTCGTGGTGCCCCACGGGCAGAGACTCGGGGCCCCTCCGAGGGGTGTCCTCACTCGGCCCTACCTTCTGCTTATTCTGGATCTCCTGTTTGGTGGTTCAAAGTCAACGGAAAAGCCAGAAGTTAAAAGTCCGTACCATATTCTACCTCTATGCCTGCTTCTCTGACATGCTGTTTTCAGATAACACTTCTTAAAAAGTAGTCGTGCTTGCTTTCATAAATGCAACGGAGCAAAGAGTAGAAAGAGGTCAAAATGATACTCTGGGTTTCCAATCACTGGATCCCATGAGTAGCCACTTACAGACAAGAAATTGATGAGTAGGCCAATATTCTCTACATAGTAATCTTTGTCAACATAAAAAAATGAATATAATGAGAGAGTTGTAAATGACCAGAATAAATACAGAAATAAATATATAATATAGATCTACTGGGTCACAAACATGTCATGACTTTTCCAATGACCCAACAGCATTTCTAAATCTCATTCTTCAAAAGGGGACGACAGGTGGCACAGTGGTTAGAGTGCTGGACTCCCATGTGGTCGACTACAGCTCAAGTCCTGCCCTTGACAGCTTGAAACTCATGCTGGGCGCATGTGCGTGCATGCCCAAGATCCCGAGAGGAGAACAGAGAAGGGACTGCAGTGTGGCCAACCACCCGGGGGCTGAATTCTCACTTTGTCTCTCCAGTGAGCATAAGCGCCCTATAACAAAGATCTCTAAGTCACTGCAAGAAATGAGAAGTGTATAAAGTGCCTGTGATTCACTTCTGATCTACCCACACACTTTCTGTACTTTACTGTACCTTAATGAAGGTTCATTTTTAAAAGTACAGAAAAGCCTTCCTTCCTATATCCTTTTCTTTCTTTCCTGCCAGAAGGAACGTGAATTTGCCAGAGGAAAGGGGACAAGCACTCCCCAGTGGGGTACTGACATCGCTGTAATCCCCTCGCCCCATCTTGTCATCCTGCCGTGATTTTAGGTACACGTGCCCAGCGTGTTTCTCATACCGCCAGGACTCCCACTGCAGTTGGCCATGTGGGACACAGCTCCCCAAGCACCAGGCGATGGGGCCGGTGCAGGCACATTTCTTACATTCACTCTTAAGTTCATCAACTCAGTGTTAATGAAGGCCAACATTTGCCTACAAAAGTTGAAAGAGAGAAATACCGATTACTATACCTGGACCACTTCGGTACCTTCAATTATTTTCCTGTAGTAGGACACGGATGGGGAGCTAGTGCTTCCTGCAACAATATAGGATCTTTCTGGGTAAGCCAAGTCCCAGAACCTGGAGGAGAGGAGAAAACAGTGACAGTCTCTACAGGGCCTACATCGCTCGTGCACTGCCTACTTTCTTTTGCATTAGAGAAGGAGGTTTCTCCAGAACAACATAAAATTAATTGCACATAAAGTGGTAACATGTTATTTTACGATATTGATAATGAAAAATATTACAGTCCCGATACCTTTAATGCTTTTCATAAACCAAACCGTCCGCTCACATTTTGTTACCCGCCTTCTAAATACCACATATGAAGTGCTCTTTGTAAGACACTGCACCTGATTTTCATGTCTGAGCCAGCTGTGAGCAGGATAGGGTTTCCATCTGCAGGGCTACAGTAGATACCATGGACACTGTGAGGGGAAGGCTTCAAAGAGATAAATACGGAGTCAGAGACAAGACACCGGTTCCCCTACGTGACAAGACATCACCAGACGCAAGTTAACGGTTACCTGAAGAAATGAGAGGCCAGTTACACACATTCTATCCTACTTCTTTCTTTTTTAAACTTTAAAAAGCATTTATTTGCTTTGTATCATCCTGAACAGACAAGTGTAGCCTGATCAGCTTCCTGAAATGTTCAAGACCACCTTGAACAAGACCTCAACTGATGGAGGAAAAAAATCTTTCCTACCTTTGGCCGCAGTAAAGCACCCTTGACTGTGACTCCTTAGCACAAAAGTGTGTGTAACAAGGTGGTGTTCCTTTTTTTCTTCTTTAAGGAGAAATTTTTGGTATAGGGTGCATGTGCTTGCCAGAGAGAGAAAGAGACAGAAAGCAAGAAGTCATCCCCCCCCATGCCATAATTCCTTCTCCTCCAGTCTCCTCAGGATTCTGGGCACGCACGCACATGCACCCGGTGTGTTTCAAGCTGTCGGGTCCGGGACTTGAACTGCAGTCAACCATGTGGGAGTGCAGTGACGTAACCATTATGCTAGCTGCTAATCCCGATACTCCATTTTCTAATTAGCTACATTTCGATCTGGGCGAATTAATCCCAATCCTCCTGGGACTGCAGAGACATCACAGGCCTCATGGTGAGGAAGACCCTAGCGAGCTTAAGGAGTGAGCAGAGCCATGCAGCAATGGCCGCATGGTACCTGATGTCATTAAAGCTCAAATCTAAAGGAACCCGAAACCCACAGATATCACATTGGATAGAATGTCTCAAAGTACTTCCGATGTGGGAATACTATCATCTCTACAGCAAGGAATGGAGTCAAACCTGTAACTCGGACAGTGGGGGCGCACTGCTGGCCCAGAGCGTGAACCTTCTGTCGCCGGTCTCCAGGTCCCACGTGGACACTTCGTTGTTGCCCTGAACAGCTACAGGAGACAACGGCCAGAACCATCAGTTGGACGAGAAGGGTGTGCTCTCAGCTTTCACGGCTCGGTAGACAGCAAGAGTCGGCTGTACCCGCCTCTGCTCGCTCCCAGTCTGCAAAACATGCTGACTGGTACTTTTAAACATTACGGCCCTGTTACCAGACTACATGAGTTTAAAAAGTTCCTAACAGCCAACAGTAAGTATTCACTGGTCTCCACCCAAGGGGAGAGGACTGTGGGATAGAAAGACAGAGCACAGGTCGATCTTGCCTCCAAGAGCCTCACCTAAAGTAGAGAGAGAGAGAGAGAGAACACGCAAGGGTGTGAGACCACAAGTGAGATGGGAGAGACGTGACGCTCGAGCTGGTCACGGAAGGGAAGGTCGCCAGTGGGCGAGGGCTGGAGTCACGTCACGGGCGCGCTTTACGGGGCCTGAGAAGCAGGTAATTGGACAGACAGCGGTGACGGGCTGTTTCCACTGAGTGAAAAATAAAGGCAAAAACCTGTGAGTGTGTGGGGGCTGAGAGGGTGGCTTACTGCAGCACATCTGGGCAGGGAAGAGAGTGAGAGGTGGAGAGGAAGGAAGGAAGGAAGAGGCGAAGTACAGAAAGTGGAGACTGCAGGCCTGAGAGACAGGCGCCCCTTCCGCATTCCCGAGGGCAGGGAGTGACAATCCCCCGGCTCGCTCGCTCATGACGGCCTGAGCCAGCAGTCCAGCTACTGTCCTGGCACCAGGCGAGGATGACCCGTGACGTAGGAAAGTCCATCCCGGGGAAGCACGCCCTAGGGGACAGTGCACGCAGGCCCTGAAGCAGCAGTACGTGGTGGGGAGTGGGCCAAGTGCACAGGGCAGGCCAAGGTCAGAGTGGGGAGACTGGAGCGCGGCGGTCGCTCCCTTCACTGCCCCAAGGCCGACCGGGGATCACAGCGCTCCTGCACACCCTGGCTTCCAGGTGGGCAGCCCCCAGATATCCAGGTCCCACTCCCGAACCTGTGGATGTGACCTATTGACCAGGGACTGTGCTGACGTGCTGCCGTCAGGACCTGAGCCAGAGGTCCTTCTGCATCGCCCACGGTGGGTAGACGCGGCAGGAGCACCCGGCCAGAGCAGGCAGGCTGACGCCGCGCCACACGGGCACGATGTGATGCTGCTGGAACTGGAGGTGGAAGAGGCTCAGGGCGGGGCGGGCCCTGGCAGCAGGGAGGGGAAGAGACAGGCTCCCAGGAGCCTCCAGAGTGCGTCCCGCTGCCGTCTCAGTTCTGGCCACGACACATTTCTGACTTCTCCAAAACTTGAGGAGAATAACCCTGTGTTGCTTCAGTCCCCGAGCTTGTGGCAGTTTGATACAGCTGTCACAGAGAACGGAATAGGTCCACGGGAGACCAGGAGAGCAGGGCGTCAATCGCTTTAAGCCGGGTGGACAGCTCACCTCGAAATCACTACTCCTCTCCAGGTGGTCTCCCCATCCAACCGCCCCAGACTCCAGGAGGCGCGCCCACCGTGCCGGCACTGCCCGACGGTGGAACTGGCCCATTACTGTGCTGCTCTGGGTGATGCCCCTGTACCCACCACCCCGTAAGCAGTTCCTGCGGGAAAAAGTCCTCCTCAAACCCCAGACTGATGAAGGTCGGAGAACTGGCAAGAGGGCAGTTCCCATAAAACCCCTTGCACGGTGGTAAAGAGTCCGGCTCTGACTGAGTATAAGCATACCGGAAGGTGTGTCCTGAGAGATGCAGACAGAGACAGGCAGCTCGGAGGACCCCGTGTTAGTAAAGGAGGAGATTATGACGGTGTGGACAAGGAGACCGTCATGGAGGGGCCGACAGAGGTCGAATTCGGCACATATTTTAACAGAGTCCCGGCTCGGCTGACGGACTGGAGTGGAGTGAGGAAAAGAAGAGTTGAGGACAAGCCCAGGCTTCTGCCAGGCCCTGCGGGGATTCTACAGGAAGAATAGGTTGGTCTCAGGACAGAGGAGGTGGTGGGGCCCCCAGAGAGGAAAGTGAGTGTTCAGTGTGACGTGTCAGGTTGATGATGGCTGTCCAACATTTAGGGGAGGCTTTAAAACAGACACAGGAATCTGAGTAAGCCTGAACTGGGCAGAGTCTATAAGATCAGTGGGAGCAGTGTAGAAGAGGCCAAGACCCAGGCCACAGGGGAGCCCAGAGACGTCCTGAACCAGACGAAACGACCAGCCGCCCGCACAGATGCAGTGAGAGGGTGGCTGAGTGACAGCCACTGAAACTGGCCACGTGGTGATGGGGACAGGGCAGTGCACGAGACGGATGTGTGTGAGGGGGGACCACAGCGAGCCAGAGGCAGGAAGGCCAGTGAGGACTGTCAGAGCTGACTTGTCGGGCCCTGGCCGTGTGCCAGGCTGCGTGTCGTCCATGCTCTATCTCAAGTTCTCACAACTCTGTGCAGTTTGCGAGGGAGATTAGATAAAAGACCTGCCTGGCTGTCTCACCCAAGGCGCCATAAGCAAATTCTGAGTGCCCGATGAGGGGTGGAAAGGGAAGCTTGCAAAAACCGTAACAGAAACAGATCAGTAAGAGATGGCAACTGAGGAGGATGAGTCAAGGTTCCTAAAGGAGACTCCTAGGTTCCACGAAGATGGTGGCAGCTTTAACGAAACCAGGGCGCAGAGGGTGAAGAGCCCGAGGTGGCGGTCAGGGTGGAGGAGATGGCCCCTGAACGTCAGAGATGCGAGCAGGCAGAGACGTCAGTGGTGGGAGGGAGCTCCACAGGCAGGCAGAACCGAGAGCATCCTGTGCACATGCAAAACGGAAGCTCTAAAAGCATGAGTCTGGCAGGAGGGGTAAGGTACTTTCCAAGAACCCTCCCCACCACGGAGAACGAGCCCCCCTTTACCCGCGATCACCCAGGACTGGTGCAGGGGGTGCATGGAGAGGCGGCGGACCCGCGCCCTGGACGGGTGGTAGTGACTGGAGATGGGCAGCTGGAACCTCATGTCCCAGCAGGCCATGGTGCCACTGCTTGTACCTGAAGAAAGAAGCACAAAATGACCGTCTAACACTCAAAGTGTACCAGGCTGCTAGGCACACAACATCAATCCAGCCCTGTGTGGACTGACGGGGTTTTTAAAGCTGCCTTAACCACCAAAAAAGGTTTTGTTCTCATGAAGCTGTCTAGTTAAGTAACAGACAGAAAGTGCTTATCATAATGCTATTACAAAACTAATAAATGCAAGTTTAAAATAAATAATTCACTAATCACTGACACTTACAAATTGCCAAAGGCACCCACAAAAACAGGCTCTAGAAAAGATGTACACTGAATTTCATGTCAGACCACCTTAAATAGCCAGAGCTGTTTTACTGAGTAATCACTTCGCCGATGCCTTGGGATTGGGATATGACCTCACCCTTTCCAATCTGCTTTTCAATGGCCAAAAAACAAAGTGGCTGTGACCGAATTACGGGGGACGGGAAGGGAAGGAACGACCCATGGAGGACAGGACAAACGGCAACACTCGATGGTGGCTGTGGCCACGAGCAGTGCCCAGCGCCCAGCAGGCACGGGGAGCCCTTACCGATGCAGAGCCAGCACTGGTGAATGTCCACGGCGAAGGAGGTGATGAGGCCGGCCTTTAAGTCGTGCTTCAGCGTCCACGCGTTGCTGGACGCCCGGAGGTCCCAGCCGACCAGGGAGCCGTGCACGGTGGCGTAGGCGAGCACAGACTGTGCCCCGGCGTGGAAGTGGTGCATGTCCACCACGCAGCCGTCCTCCTTCGGGTCCAGGGTTCTAGAAGAACGCAGAGTGAGAGGCAGAGACCTGCCCGGTCACCAAGAACATCCGCTGGTCTCCACTTAGGATGAATTTGTATCTTATCCAGGGTCAATAACAAAAGCAGGGTGAGCCTATCACGGTAATAGCTGAGGCACTTTTAAATAATTCCATCAGCAGACACGAGAACGACGGTACCTAAAGGTTACTAATTCCATCAGCAGACCCGAGAACGAGGGTACCTGTCCGTAAGGTACATGCTAGTACCTTTACCTCGGTTACTATGGAATGCACTTGTCCTGAAAAGTCCATGCTGTACACCGTAAAGATGTAGTGATTAAATATACATTTAAAAAGGAAAAAAAAAGCTAAACAGTGAGAACTTAAGTGGTACTTAAAAAATAATTCTCGATTTACAGAAAAATTCTAATAGAGAGTTCCTGTCCATGCTTAACTCAGCGTTCCCTCATGCAAACCTCTCATGTAACCACAGGACAGTTATCACACCATGGAGTGGGCGCTGGGACGGTGCGAGGAATCACAGCACGCAGGCATTCTGAGCGTATCTGCTTTCCTCTGGTCCCCTTCACTGTTCCAGGGTCCATTCCATGTTTTCCCACGGCACTGAGCTGTCTCCGTCTTCCGCTGTCCTTCCTGACCATGGTACTTCTGGACACTCCCAGTGAGTTAAGCTGGAGGACGGCTCTGGACGTGGGCTTATCGAATGCTTTCCTGTGATTACACTGAGGTTATTCCTTATTGGGACAAGATGCCACGGAAGTGTGTGCTCTTTACAAGGCATCCGTGAGGGAGCATCTATGTCTCTGTACCTATGTGTGAGTGTGTGTGCATAATTACTTTATATACATACATGTATACTTAGTACATAAGCATATACACATACATGTATACCCTGAAGCCCTATTTGTACCTCCAACTCCGACCCAGCATCAGAATCACTGCCAGCCTCGTAACTTCCACGTACAACAGTGAGGAACCTGCCTCGCATTATCTACACCCTATCTACAGACGGGCTCAACCCTAGGATTCACACAAAGTAGTTTGGAAATTGCTAAACCACATCCCTCTACAAAATCACCGATGGGCCACTGAGAAGGTGTGGTGGTTAACTGAGTGGTAGGAGTTTTAAATGCAAAAGTCACACAAAAGAGAAACAAACAACTCTGAGGTGAGCCGACACACACCATTTTCTGCCTTATGCAGCCCTAATGCCATGACCTGCCATCCCCTAACCTTCCTGTCTCTTCCTGCTTTCCTGCGGTGGGGTCCATCTTCACCTGGAATGCCCTTCTCAACGTACCAGTCACGCTAACTCAGCCTGGTCACTCCTGCCGTCCTCCTGACCCCTCTGCAAGCTTACTCCTGCTACCCGCATGACTTGGCACGTGAGCACGCTACACTGTCTGCTTTCTGGCCTGCTTCACGCGGTAGCCTGTGATTCGTGGAGGGCCTGCCATGATCGTGTTTATCTCTGTGATCCTTGGTGTGTAATGTGCACTTGAATAAAAAATTGTACTTTGCTTGGAATGCCTTACCTCGTATGTGTTTATGCTACAAGCAAGTGCAGTTTTTAAGAAGTGAAGGATATGCTAAAACAAAGCCAGTCAGTCTTTTGTTTAAAATGCTAAACAAACCATCTGTGTAAAAGCTCCACTCTGCCCAGAGACTTTAATGCCAACTGACCGAATGCTGGCGCTGTCTGAGCGTCTTTAGTGAGGAGCACACCTGCTCTCCGTCAGTCAGCCCTTGCTTCAGGAGCGGAGGCAAAGGTGTAAATGACTCGTTACCTGGGAGATCCCAGAGAGGGGAGCCACAAGCTCAAGGCTGCCCTTCTCACCCTCTGACAAGCTGGCAAAGTCAGATACAGCCACCTTCTAAAACCAACCACATGTTTTCTTTACTTCTTGGCTTAAAAAAGAAATGCAATGTAGAAGGCCCTCAGTTGGCCCCAGCGGCACTGCAGGACTGAAGGGGAAGTTCAGGTACCACAGCACACCACATGCAAGTTCAGGTACCACAGCACACCACATGCAAGTTCAGGTACCACAGCACACCACATGCAAGTTCAGACAAAGACGGAAGACAGATACCTGCTTTGCAGAGGGTGGATTTTAGGAGACTTGGGCAGCTTGGAAGCCTCAATCCCAAGAAGCTGAACTGCACCGTTGTCAGATGCAACGGCCAAGTAGTGGGAGCCCTGGCAGAATGCGAGCGTCCTGACGCGCCCTCCGAGCCGGCTGTAAGTGAGGATGGATCTGAACGGAAGGAAAGCAAAGTTTCACTCCTGAAACAGCCACAGGGACGTATTTACTGCTAATATTAATGCTCGCACACTCCGTCCATTCCATCCTGATCTCATATTAGTGCTCGCACACTCCGTCCATTCCATCCTGATCTCATATTAGTGCTCGCACACTCCGTCCATTCCATCCTGATCTCATATTAGTGCTCGCACACTCCGTCCATTCCATCCTGATCTCATATTAGTGCTCGCACACTACGTCCATTCCATCCAGATCTCATATTAGTGCTCGCACACTCCGTCCATTCCATCCTGATCTTATATTAGTGCTCGCACACTCCGTCCATTCCATCCTGATCTCATATTAGTGCTCGCACACTCCGTCCATTCCATCCAGATCTCATATTAGTGCTCGCACACTACGTCCATTCCATCCTGATCTCATATTAGTGCTCGCACACTACGTCCATTCCATCCTGATCTCATATTAGTGCTCGCACACTCCGTCCATTCCATCCCGATCCCATTTTAATGATAGCACACTCCGTCCATTCCATCCTGATCTCATATTAGTGCTCGCACACTACGTCCATTCCATCCTGATCTCATATTAGTGCTCGCACACTACGTCCATTCCATCCTGATCTCATATTAGTGCTCGCACACTCCGTCCATTCCATCCTGATCTCATATTAGTGCTCTCACACTACGTCCATTCCATCACCCTGATCCCATAATGAAAGCCAGACTCTCCCCTCAGAAGCACTGGTAAAAAAACCGCATTTCCTTCCGATGTTTTCACATGGCCACCTTCATATACTTCTCTCGACAGTGGAAGACTGGTCTTCCTCTTTTCTTTTTGTCTTTAAACTAAAACAGTTGACTTTTTTTTGGGGGGGGCATTTGCTATAGGGCACATGCACTTGCTGGAAAGACAGAAAGAGACAGAGAGACAGAAAGCGAGAAATCACCCCCCAGGTGGGATGGCCACGCCGCAATCCCTTCTCCTCCATTCTCCTCTCGGGATCTTGGGCACATACGCACACGTGCCTGGCATGAGTTTAAGCCACCAGGTCCGGGACATGAACCGCAGTCGACTACGTGGGAGTTTAGTGACATAGCCATTACCCTAAATGCTTCCCTGAAGCATCCTCGGACCAGTTTATTTCAAATCCTACCCTACTCTACCCTAATGCATCCTCTTTCCCCCTTTCCTGCTGTATTTTCTCCGTAACAGTTTTTAACCAACTTTCACAGTTTTACTTATACTTTTTAATCATTTATCACTGTTTTACTTACTTATACTTTTTAATCATTTATCACTTTCTGCTTAGAAGTTAAGCTCCACAGAAGAGGGATTTTCTCCTCCATTTCTGACCTAAAACCGTCCGTCACAGAACAGGCATTCCTTCGCCGATCTGAACGAACCGACCCACCTCTCAGCACGTGTTACCTGGTGGTGGTGGTCTTCCCCTCCATCTTTTGACTGTTCCAGATCTTCACCGTCCCATCATTCGAACATGTCGCAAAAAGTGAGTGTTCGTCAGAGACTCGGATTCGGTTCACTGCTGATTTGTGTTCATGAAGATGTGCAACCAAGAGCCCTTTAGGGTGCCAGCCTACGGAGAAGGCAGAGTACGAGGGGACTTCAGAAAGTACACAGAAAAATGGAATTAGAGTGTGAGTTACTTTGGTACAAAGAAAATTTAAATCCATGTAGTTTTAATAGGATGCTTTTGGCAGACTCCTCACATATCTTCAACTGTAGTTTACAAATAACAGTCTTCCCTTCGCCCTCGACTGCGATCACCAACCGCCAGTATGAGGAGTACTCATAAGACCTGAACAATTCAAGGTATCAAGAGCTGGTCCTCAGAAAGCGGCCCACTAGACGGTGACAGATCTTACTGAGATGTCACGGCAGCAGCTACGTGCTGCTCGAGAAGCTTTGGAAAGACCACACCCTCTTCCAGTGTCTGGAAGGGACAGCAGTCAACAGGAACTGCCTGAACCGACTGCAGACTCCGCGGCCTACCGAGTGATGACGTAGCGAGGGCCCTGGGTCCTAGGACGCTGCCTGAGCATGGAAGGCATGGACACCCAGCTCTACCGCCATACACATGTGCCTGCGGCTCCTGAGCGGAACTCTGGGCCTTAAACAGGAAATGAGAGGCACATGACCTAGCTCAAAGGTGCACGGGTAAGTCCATCACTGTCCTAGCCCACAGTAAACACCTAATGCCGACTGATTCCCTCCGTCTGCCATCAGTTATTCCCCTGTAAACATGTCGGTGTGACAAGATCTCTGAAAGTTCATGGATAATGTGTAATATGAGAAACTATATATGGATTCCAAAACTACTTCTGCACCAAATCCATGCACATTGTCTTTTCTTCCTTAGTGTCGGTGGGCTCACCAGAGAGAGAGAGAGAGAGAGAGAGAGAGAGAGAAGGCACCCGCCAGGGGGGCGGGACCGCACT